ATTCCAGATGTGCCTGTGGACTCTTGGTTTTCTTTCTCCTTGGAACACGTGGGCAGCTAAGCTCTCCAGGGCAGGTAGACTGCTAATCAGAACAGATCTCAGCCCTGATGAGGGCAGCAGCCCATAGAAGCTGCTCCACAGGGATTTAAAAAAAAAAACAACAACCACCCAAAACCAGAGATTCCAGTTTTGCTCCATTCCTGCAATAAATGCACCACTGGTAAAGGAAGCTCTGAGCTCATTTTCAGCTTTTAGAATGGCCAACGAGGTCCCCTAATAGGTTTGAAAGACCCCTGCAGGCCAGGCCCGGGCCGGACCCTGGGGAGCAACGCCATGCAGAGGCGCCTGAGCCGAGCCTGCCAAGCTGGTAGAGCCACAGCGGGTCTTTCCTTGCTCTTGGCCTGTGATGCAAATTCTCTGTCAGGTGGAGGGATGTCAACCTTGAGGAGGAAAGAAGACAGGCATTAAACCTCCATCAGAAGACTAGCAGGTTAGGCCTCTGCCCGGTCACCAGGATCTGTGGGAACAAGTGACCTCGGGGACCCGTACTGTCCCCTCAGCTGAGCCAGGTCTCAAGCGCATAAGAACAAGTTCTGAAAAGCACAAGGGCCTCTCTGACCGCGGCCCAGGTGAGTGGATGAGTGTGGTTGAGGGGAGCCAGGCTGGCTGCGCTATTTAAAGTCCCTGGGCTGTGTCCCCAGCGCCTCCCCCTCCCCCCGAGAGCTGACCACTCCTACTGCGCCGTCTAGTTTCGTAGCGCCCTCGCGTCTCCCCTCCTATGTTAGGAGACAGCAGCCACCATGGCCAGGGGTCCCTGTGCCTCAGCCTCCTCTGAGGAACAGCAGCTACCAGGACCTGGGCCCCATGGCCTTCCCCTCCAGTGTCAGGGGACAGAGTCAGGGCTTTGCTCCGCCCACATGCCCAGAGCTGGCCTGGGCTTGTTCCAAGAAAGGAGGGTGGTAAGGCAAGTGGAGATGCAGGTGGGGATGTGGGTGTGGGTGAGGATTTGGTTGCAAGGGGGAGTGGGGATGCCGGTGCAGGTGGGGATGTAGGTGGGAGTGGGAATGTGGGTCCAAGTGCAGGAGGAGTTTGTGAGGAATGGAAGGCGTGGCTGGGTGGGCTCGGGGTGTGGCCCATGGTTACCTTGCACTTCCTGGCGACTCCAGGCCGAGGCAGAGTAGAGAAAGTCTCAGTCCAGAGCAGTAGGAGCCCGGTACTCAGAAGCACCGAACAGCACAGCAGGTAAGTGCAAAGCATGGGCTGGACACAGAACAGGAACCAGGGACCAGGGACCAAGGACCGCTGAATAGGAACCGACCCCTGGGAATTCTGCTGGGAATCTTAGGAAGTTGAGGGCACAGCAGGGCTGGAGAGTGGGGTCCAGGAACTTTCTGAGTTTCCTTTGGGGTAATTGAGATTTCTGTGACACTGGAGGTCCCTACAGAGCCTGGTTCTCAGCTAAGTGAAAGGTTCCTAGGGGGTGGCCAAGGGAGCTGGGTGAAATGCCTTTGGGGGGTATCTCCCCATGGTTGGGGAGAAAGACTTCTTGTCTGAGGGCTCTGAGGGCTATAAACCCTGGGGCTCAGGAGGACACAGAGCCCCAGAGAGGGAGAGAGGGACACCTCAGGCTGCTCCAGCAGCACCAGGCTCTCTGCACAGCTTCTTGGTTTTGTTAGGATTGATGCTGCCTCCTACTTCCCTTTAAGGAAAGTTTTAAAAAAATTTTTCGGAAGCAACCCTTTAGCTATGAGTGCCAGGGCGTGATTCTTGACCTATACTCTGGTTACTGAGCGTTCAAGTACGAGAGTGGGAAAACGCGTACCCGACTCCACAGCGATCCTTCCTTTCAGGGGCTGTCCTGACAGTACGCAGCAGGGACGCGCACGGACTTGCTTTGCTGTCTGCGCTCTAAGGACAGAGTTCGTCCTAGGATTCATAGCTCCCAGCCATGAACACTTGTGACCTGGCCTTTAGAGACAAGTGGAGCTCCCGGGTTTTGTTTTATCAAGATAGCGTCAAAACATGCCATTAAAACTGGTATATACAAACAACCGAGACGTGGATTTTGCATTGATCACCCAGACTCAAGGACTCAAAATGATGTTGACTTACGATATGTGAGTCATTTCCCTGGTGGTCCATCCTTGTGCTGTGAGAACAGTTACGAAACAGACATTAAAAGTGTAGAGAGGAAAAGGGGGGATTACTTTCCCAAAGGTTGGTGTGTTCAAAGCAGACATCAGCTATCTGGCCCATATTGTATGGGTGCAGCAGTTTAGTTCATGTTGAGATGAGCATCCAATGGGAGGGATGCACGTGCTCCTGTGGGGTAATTCTCAGAGGCTGTGCTGTTAGAACCACTGGAGAGTGCAGCCTACGTAGGTCCACCGGCAAAGGTTAACGGGCTCAGAGCTGGCTCCAGTAAGGGCAGTAACAAAATTTCATGGATTGCCAGTAGGAGAGATTGTTGAATCAATTTCCTTAAATGTTACTAAGATTTAAGTGATGTTCACTTTCTTACTAAAGTAACTTTTACACTATACATTGGAAACTTGAAATTAATTCTCTGTATTTATCACAGCCATTTTAGAAGCCTCCCGCATGTAAGGAATTAAAACAATAATTGGTTTCTTTTCGGATGTTGCCGTTACTTGAACATTCACCAAACAGAGAATAAATATTGTTCGGATTTTATTCAGTATCGTATATAAATACATTAGTAACACATAGCGTGTGTAATGTATTAAAATGTTATTAGAACATTCTGGGTATTCTGACTTCTACAGCAATCCAGTAATAGCACAAAGAAGTTGAGTTGAGGCCAATCTTAGGAATGAACAAAGACTCCAAAAAAATGTAGTAGCATATTGATTTGCCTCTCTAAACCCTTGCCCAGGCTTTTGGTTTTGTCCCTGTCTTGTCACTGACTGGTCACCTGCGGACCGTCTGTGGCCTCCTTACCGTGAGATCACAGGGTCTCCTTTTCATTTCCTTCCTTCTTGAAGGCTCTGAAGAACGTTGACACTGTTAGTCACCTCTGCAAAGTCCTCCACAGGCCTCCTCAATTCCAGGCCACCCCGATTCTCAGTCTTGCTCTCAAGGGAATATGCCTTCTGAGACCTGAAGGGGAGTCAGGCTCTCCGGGTCCTGGGCAACTTCTCTCCCTCCCAGCCTCTCTGGGTTTCCTTGCATCTGCTGGCCCTGAGTGTCTCGTCTTTACAAGCACTCAGGGGCTACCCGATCATTTTCCTCCCACATCTAAAACTTCCTGAAAGAACTTTGCCAGAACACTAGGATGGGGAGAACAATAATGAAAATAAAGTATGGAGGGATAAAACAGGTTTCCAGGCACAAATGCCAAGAATCTAATAGAACCCAAACATGGTGGACTCTCTGGCAGAACTCGTCAGAGCACGCCGAGGGTGGTCCCTTCCCTCCACCCTCTGCAGGGAGGGTCTCTGGCATCCAGCTCTGCTCGGCTTCAGGCCCTCACGCACCTTGTCTGACATCGTCAGATCACGTGTCCTTCACGAAGCACCCACCACACATCGGCCACCTCTGCAGGCACCAAGGGCAATGAATCGGTTGCGCATCCTCTTCATCTCCTGTGTTGCATTTTTTGTGACATGTGTCTCTAAACTGTTCTTTGTACTTTGGTCCTCACCCGGGAGAGGAGGAGCCACCCTGTAGACCCTCTTCCCAGATGCTTCCAACCCCACGTCTCCAGCTTCCTGCTGGACACTTTCACTCAAACCTCCCACCACAATATGGGGCAAGGAGGCTGGTAAGATACGTGAGCACTAAGATTTCTCTACAGAGCTCCAATGAGCAAAAACAAAGAGTTGGAAGTTTAGATATTCTAAAAGAAGGTGAACATCGGCCTTTTTTTTTAGGTCAGAGGCAGTAAGGTTTCGTTTGTTTATTTGCCTTTAAACCAATTCCTAAAAAAATTGTATTGTTAAGCCTTTTAAGATTAAGATGATAGAGTGTTGTTTATTCCCCTGGAGAAGTGTATGTATACTCACAGCTTAGCCCACTTTCCTTACTGCACAGACTGGCCATGAGAACAGCAGCGCTGTCCTCACTTCCAGCTGGAGCATCTGTTCGTTTGAGCAGGGGCGACATGGAGGACTCCGAGTAGGCTTGGTCCCCTGTGTCCGAGGAGCACTGTCACCTTCACAAAGAGGGCCCACGGGTCTGTCTTCCCTCCATCCGAGTGCAGTTCACTGTGTACGGCCATGATCCGCACCTTACTGATGGGGCCATGGGCAATGGGATCATGTGTGAGCTGAGCGAACCTTTTGTGCAACATCTGCAAAGAGAAAAAGTCAAAAGGGAAGTCAGAAGTGGAGGAGGTAACAGCTTAATGAGGCGGTAGTTATGAAGGTGGAATGAGCATGGTGCAACCTGGGAGAATGCTGCTGTAACCTCACCTGAGTGGGACGGGCGAGATTAGGAATGGCCCGCAGCACGGGGAGCCCCAGGGCTCCTGCGGAGACAGCCTGGAAGAGCCCAGCGTGCAGTGAGGAGGCAGGGAGAGGCAAGTCACTTATCTTTCTAGCCTGTTTCCTCATCTCTGAACTGAGTTAAGTGATCTGTGTTTGTCTCATTTAATCCAAGCTTGTGTAGGTTAACATAGCTCAGTATTATATCAGTGCTGTAGACCTTGGTTTAACCCTGTGTGGCACAACACACATAGGCATGTACAGAACGCACACACATGTACACGTATACACACATACATGTACACACAGTCATACCCAGTACACACATACTCTCAAAGCATACAGACATGAACACACACATACATTTTCATGCACACACGTGTGAGGAAGCTCTGCAACACAGCCCACGTTGGGACATGGGAGAGGAGCCCCCAGTGACACTATATTCTAACCCCCATGCACAACATCCTGCCCCTTAGAGTGGTTGGACACAGCTCACCCGTCCTACCTGCATATTAACAAGGATGTTTTCTTACAGGCTGACAGTGTGGAGCAATGGGTGACTGGAGTCTTCTGGGGAGACTTTTAGATGCTGCACAGGAGCGCTCCACGGTCATTGGCAAGGTCTGGCTGACAGTCCTGTTCATCTTCCGGATCCTGTTGCTGGGTGCTGGGGTGGAGTCAGTGTGGGGAGATGAGCAGTCAGGCTTCACCTGCAACACCCAGCAGCCAGGCTGTGAGAACGTCTGCTATGACGAGGCCTTCCCCATCTCCCACACCCGCTTCTGGGTGCTGCAGATCATCTTCGTGTCCACGCCCACCCTCATCTACCTGGGGCATGTGCTGCACATTGTGCACATGGAACAGAAGAAGAAAGAGCAGGAGGAAGAGCAGGTAAAAGGAGAGGGCGACCAGGTCCAGAGGAACAGTCTCCCAGGGCGGGACGACCAGGGAAAGGTCCACATCGCCGGGGCCCTGCTCCGGACCTACGTCTTCAATGTCATCTTTAAGATGCTGTTTGAAGTGGGCTTCATTGTTGGACAGTACTTTCTCTATGGCTTCCAGCTGAAGCCACTCTACCGCTGTGACAGGTGGCCCTGCCCCAACACAGTGGACTGTTTCATCTCCAGGCCCACGGAGAAGACCATCTTCATCATCTTCATGCTGGTCGTGGCCTGCCTGTCCCTCCTACTCAACGTGCTGGAGATATACCACCTGGGCTGGAAGAAGCTTAAACAGGACGTGAAAAACCACTATGGCCCCGACACTCCTGATTCAAGGACGGGGACCCCAACATTGGGAGATGTGATCCCACTCCCCTCCTGCTAGGCCACAGCCACTGGTACAGTAGGGTGCCCTCCTTACTACGCTCACTCTGCCTTTTCTCTGGGACAGGCAATGGCCACAGCCTATCCCGGGTCCCCTCCACCAGCAACAGACTTCAATGTGGCCGCCCCATCCCTGACACGGGGGAAGAGCCACCCTGACAAATTGTGCGATAGTAACCATCACCTGCTAATGACAGAGCAGAACTGGGCCAACCAGGAGACCGAGCGGCAGACTTCTGTGAGGAAGGTCTCCCCCCCTGCGTCCACATCTTCCTCCTTTACCCCTCCAGGCCGCCCCCAGCCACCCCCTCAGCAGGGCAGAGCAGGCAGCAAAGAGTCTGTCCTGCTGGAGAATGGGGACGGCAGCAGCGTGGGAGAGAGCAGACTGGAAGTGACTCCCGATGAGGGGCAGCAGGCAGTGATCACCGCTGTGGAGATGCACATGTCCCCGTTGCCCTCCACAGGCCCTAGACGGTCAAGCTGGGCCAGGAAGCCCAGTGGCAGTTGGGGCAGACCCAATGACTTGGCCATCTAGTCCGCTTTACAGTGACCTCTTTTCTAGCTACCAAAACCAAAGTGCACTTCAACTGAGCAGGCAGAAAGCCTAGAGTGACAGAGGGCACTGGGGCATGGGAGGAAGGAGATCACCAGAGAGGTCTGGTTTCCGTGTCCATGCTTGCTGTCCTTCATGCTGGTGCAGTGAGGAGAACGCTGATGCTTTCTATGGGGGTGGAGGAAAGTGGGGCGCAGGGGCTGATGGCCTTTGAGTATATTCACTGCAACCCAATAGCCCAGGTTCCAGCCACCTTCTCAGGTGTTTCTGTCTCTTGGGGGACTGTTCTGCAGTGATAAAGAGGCAGGTGTCTGCAGTCACTTCCTTTTGGGGTCATTAGGTTTTCTGTCCTGAGCTCTCCAGAGCCTCTGGGCAGCCCAGAAGGCCATAGCTGCACTTAGCCCTATCTTCTGTTTGACACTTGGAACGTAGAGTTGAAGTTCGTTTGGGATATTTGCCAAACTGCACTAAAAGGAGACCTCGAGCAAGCCTATGTAGTGTCATTTGAGATTCTGAAATTGCACGTGAAGCCCAGGATATGCAAGTGCAGGCTTCCTGACAAGTGACAACGACTAGCAGCTCCCCAGAGGCATAGGTTCGTGGGCGAGGGCACAGAGGCGGCTGGGAAGAAAGCAGGAGGAAATGTAGCGCACTTGAGGTCACTTTTAACAGCTGAGGAAACTGAAATAAAAGTGTGGCAGGCCCACCTTTGTGTTTGTTTTTAAATGATGTTTCCTGCTTTGTGTTGTACTGTTACACGGATACTGACTGAGGGAGTGCTCACGTTTCCCATTTCCTACTAGTAAAGATCTGAATTCCTTTTAAATGAAATGCTTTGAGTACACGAGTCAGCTTATTACTAGGAGAATGTGCCAGATAAAATAAAAGCAGGGGAAAACGTAAGTGACTCCTATGTACTTGAAATTGTCAAGTTTTTTAATGGGAAAAGTTAGCTGCTGCTGTTGCCAGAAAGATTATTTATGCAGATGAATGAATGAATGAATGAATGAATGAATGACCTACACCTTTCTAACAGCACGAATGAAGCTGTTTTTGTTTCCTAGCCATTCTTTTTGGGCAGCTTGCTTGCTTTCTAAAGTGTAAATAAAAGTGCCTGGGTTCGCTCCCTGTGTAAGTGCGCGTGTGATTTTGTGCGCGTGCCGATTTGTCATCCACACGGATGGCCGCTGTGACAGGCAAAGCTGTGTTTGTGTGCGTGGCTGTGGCTGGAAGATGACACAATTTTCTGTACTGCACACACGCTGTTCTGTCTCAGTCGCCGTCTGTCTGATCCGATGAGCAGTGGTGATGCGGAGCCTGGTCCTCGTCATACCTTTCACCCCAGTCACGGGTGGTAGTTATCCCTTATTCAGCAAAACACTGTACACTGCCAATTTGGCCTGTTTCTTTTGGTAAATTCCTTTAATTTTCTGATGATTCTTTTGTGACTCTCTAACAGTCTGATGAAAAGACTCTGATTCCTGCCCTCAGATTAATGTGAGCACGTAGTTCATTAGTGGGTTCAGCTGCCTGTGGGACTGGCTGGACCATCTCCCTGGCTTGAATGGTGCTCACTTCCCATACACGTCCTGCAGCTTCTCTCAGACACATGGACAAGGAGAGGGAGGGGAGCCATATGGAATATATTTGAGTGACTGTTGCCTCAGTTCTTCCAGGGCTGGATATATAAGTAGCACCACTGTGGATGCCCGGGAGGGAAGGTTGTCATCACGTACGTGGGATCCTGGGGCTTCGGCAGTGAGGCTGATATCTCCTGGCCGAGAAGGGCTGCTAGAAAGTCCTAGTGTAAAGAGCACTGTGATCGAGAAGCTGTGGTCTTTTAGACAATGCAATAGCAGTTATCATACAAGGAAAGTTAGGCTTGCTGAGTGAGTGTGAATCTCATCCATTTCCTTAGGTTACACCCTGGAGACTCTTAATAATGATGGGAAGCTTCTTGTTCACTTTGATTTGATGGAGAGTAAGGTTGAGGGTGAGGGTGAGACCATAGTTGTATTTAGTTCTTGCATTTTAAAATTGGGTTTTATTCCCATATGCCACGGAGAGGCCAGCATTGTGCAGTTGGATCCTTCAGAACCTGGGCAAGTTCTGTAAAATTAGGTCCACCTACCTTGGTCCTGGCCCGCCCATGAGATCAGGGGAGGGTGGGCCTGATTCTGGAAGGGGGAGGGGCGGCAATGCAGGTTCAGGTGTGGCTGGGATGCAGCCATGGGTGGAGATGCAGTTGTAGGTGGGGATTTAGGTTCCCGCGGTGCTACAGGTGCAGGTGGAAATTGGGGTGTAAGTGAACATGCAGGAAGGGTATCAGGTTGTGGAAGGCAGGGCAGTATGGGCTTGGGGTGTGTCTGGTGGTGGGCTGGCATTTACCTGGTGCATCCCAGCAGGGCAGCAGTAGAGAAAGTCTTTGTTATGTGGGGTGAGAGCTGTTTCAAGGACCATGTACTGGAGGAGCAGGTAAGTGCAGGGTGTGGGCAGGCCCCAGGACCCAAGACCCGGGACTCCACGTGGCCTCTTGGAATTCTTCTGGGAATCCTTGGAAGTTCTGGGCACAGCAGGGCTGAAAATGCGGTTCAGGGGATTCCTGAGTTCCCTCTGGGGTAATTGAGGTTGCTGTGCTGCTGGAGGTCCCTACGGACTTGGGTTCTTAGCTGAGTAAAGGGTTCCTGGGAGTGCTGGAGGCTGAGGTAAAATGCTTTCTGGGGGTGTCAGGTGGGCACAAAGCCCTGGGGACGAAATGAGGGACACCTCAGGCTGCTCCAGCAGCACCAGGCTCTCTGCACAGCTTCTTGGTTTTGTTAGGAATGATGCTGCCTTCTACTTCCCTTTAAGGAATGTTTAAAAATTTTTTTTCTGAAGCAACCCTTTAGCTATGAGTGCCAGGGCGTGATTCTTGACCTATACGCTGGTTACTGAGCGTTCAAGTACGAGAGTGGGAAAACGCGTACCCGACTCCACAGCGATCCTTCCTTTCAGGGGCTGTCCTGACAGTACGCAGCAGGGACGCGCACGGACTTGCTTTGCTGTCTGCGCTCTAAGGACAGAGTTCGTCCTAGGATGCATAGCTCCCAGCCATGAATACTTGTGACCTGGCCTTTAGAGACAAGTGGAGCTCCCGGGTTTTGTTTTATCAAGATAGCATCAAAACATGCCATTAAAACTGGTATATACAAACAACCAAGATCACCCAGACCCAAGGACTCAAAATGATGTTGACTTACGATATGTGAGTCACTGTGAGTACTGTTAGGAAACAGACATTAAAAGTGTAGAGAGGAAAAGGGGGATTACTTTCCCAAAGGTTGGTGTGTTCAAAGCAGACATCAGCTATCTGGCCCATATTGTATGGGTGCAGCAGTTTAGTTCATGTTGAGATGAGCATCCAATGGGAGGGATGCACGTGCTCCTGTGGGGTAATTCTCAGAGGCTGTGCTGTTAGAACCACTGGAGAGTGCAGCCTACGTAGGTCAACTGGCAAAGGTTAATGGGCTCAGAGCTGGCTCCAGTAAGTAAGTAACAAAATTTCATGGATTGCCAGTAGGAGAGATTGCTGACTCAATTTCCTTGAATGTTACCTACATGTAAAGTGGTGTTCATTTTCTCATCTGCAATAATTATCACACTATATATTTGAAACTTAAAATTAATTCTCTGTATTTATTACAGCCATTTTATAAGCCTTCATTTTATAGATCTTTTGATTGTTACCGTTATTTGAATATGTATCTAACAGAGAATAAATTGAATATATATTTTTTTAGGATTTACTTCAGTATCACACATAAATATATTAGTAACCACATAGTTTGTGTATGTACTAAAATGTTATCAGAGCATCATAGATAGTTATCTTACAAAAACCCAACAATGGTACAAGGAAGTGAAGATCAAAGTTAGGTATGAACAAATAAACTATCTAAAATAAAGTGGCAGTTGCCGTGGCTGGGTGGCTCTGTTTGGTGGAGCATCACTCAGTACACAAAAGGCTGAGGGTTAGATTCGATCCCCAGTCAGGGCACATACCTAGGTTTTGGGGCGTGTACAGGAGGCAACTCACTGATGTTTCTTTCTCTCTCCCTGCTCCTTACCTGCCTCACTCCCCTCCTCTCTCTCTAAAATCAATAAACATATTCTTGAGTGAGGATTAAAAAATAAATAAATGAAGTAGCAGCAAATTGATTTTGAGAGTTCTTAAAAATAAATGATGACAAATAGAATGCTATACACCACCTAAAAAAGACAGCAGGTGCAGGAAAAATGTATTGCGCTAAATCCAATACTCATTCATGATTTAGAAAAGAAAAATCAACCAATCCTTGGCAAAGAAACAGTGGATGGATGCTTCCTTAGCTTGATGCAAGTTGACACATCATGGGCACTGAGAAAACTTGGGAATCATTCATGTTAAAGGCCGAAAGAAGAAAAGTGTCACCACCTCCTGTCCTGGAAGTCCTGGCCAGAAGACAAGAAGAAGGCGGGAATAAGAAATATCAGGAATTTGAATTTAGAGAGAAAGACACAAACATGTCCTTAGCAAAAGATGGCATGATGTTGTCTTCCACAGAAACCCAAAGGACCATCCTAACCATGAAAATTAGTAAGGGCTTCCTAGCAGGTTGCTGTATAAAAGACCAATATATAAAGATGATGTTCCCAATTACTGGTGACAACCAAATAGGAATTATAATGAAAAAACTATTTCAGAAAAAGCTTTGGAACAACTATAAATTATCTAAGAATAAACGCAGAGAAGGTTCAAGATGACAGAGTAGATGCACATTGCACTCTCCTCCTACCCAGATCACATCAAATTACAACCAAATTATATAAAAATCAACCTGGATAACCATCTGAGGTGTAGCTAAACAGAAGTGCTGTAATTAAGACTACAAAGAAGTTCCATTGAAACTGACAGAATGACAGAAACAGACTGGTTCCACACCCACGTGCTGCTGTGGGATATC